TTGACAAAATAAATTCTATTCAGTCACGAAATAGGTAGATGCATTTATTTATAGCACATGTTTTTTTACGTTTAGATATAGGTAATGAGAACCATATTGGTGTCCTAGTAATAAATTAATGCCACAATAAAAAAGCAATATTGCTATTTTGAGGGAGTTGCACAAGTGCACATGACAGATATTGTTTTCTTATAGATACACACCTACTTAAATTAAATGATTTTTGTTTGGCAATAAAGTGAAAGGTAAAAATGCTGAAAAAATCTAAAAAGTTAGCCAATTTAAATAACATCATTTCTATAACTTGCTAAACCTAGTCAGTTACTATTATATCACAAACATCTGTCGACATACACTCATGCCCCTCCTTACCACTTGAGTTCCCACTCACCACATTCCTTTATGAAAAATTTTGGATAAAATCCTATTTTAAAAAAGTCAACCCTATACTTTATATGCTGAACATAGACCTCTAAGATATCTCATGCAGCAATTAGTGGGTGCAAATAATATAGCCAACATCACATGTGTCCATCCAGTTCCATAGTCTACATCAATTGCTATTGCACTTGGGTCCATTGGATTCAATGATTTTGGCCGTATTCTTACATTCACTGGTTTATCTTGTCCATGAATAGCAAGGCATGCCTGTTACAAATGATCTTGGTAATGTTTCTCATGAGCAGCACCAATGCACTTGAATGGCACAGCATGGGTGATTTCGTCCTCGTCACTTTCATCCTGATCACTTAACTGGTCACCACTTTCTGCCCTATCACCTTCATTACCATATCCATCCTGACCAGGTTCAAGACCAGCTAACCACTGAACCACTCAAGTAGATCTCTTTCTACAAAATCATAACAAGAAAATTTTTATTTTATTATTTTATACATACACTGTAATCTCTAAAATTAGCAATCTAATGCAAAAGTGTGTCACTATTTACAGTAATATTAGAACAACACACAAATATTATTTTACAGATGAAAATTGAAAAATATACTGTATGCACATATATGTAAAAATCTATCCATACAAACAGGCATCATACTTCAGCAAAAATTTATTAAACAATTCGTTTAACTCAAAACATGTACATATGTATCACAGTGACACAGTACATATACACACACAATAGGGTCAAACTAGAGTAGAGGCATTATAAACACAAGTATGACGCCATAATTTTGTACAGTGTATTTATATTAAAAGTACAAGAATAAAAACAACAAAGCGGAAATTTGACTATAAAATAACACGATAACTGTAATGCATTGTAGTATACCAACCTTAAATACTGCGCTTGTTTTCACGTTGATGATACACGGAGATTTAACGCCATCCAACTTAGAAAGAAGAGCCTCGCTATTGGGAATATAAATTAAACACAATTCCTTTTCTCAGACGGATTATTTGTAAAGCTAAAATGACAACACGTCCCATGCAATTTAAAAAAAGGTAAACTTGATATAGTAAAACACAAGTCATAATGATGATCGCAACAATACAGCAATAACATGCTGTTTTCACAAAATATCGCAGCCTGACATTCTTGTCGTTCGAAAGCTTCCATATTGGTTTTGTAGTCAGAGAGATGTTCACTCCTCGACAGTCAACAGTCAATGAAAGCCACGCGTGGAATTAGGCGCTCAATACCCATGATGCTTTGCGGCCTGCTGTCCAACCTCCTCTGTCGTTTGGGTTTAATTGCGTTTCATTTCGAGTCTGGAGTCCAAAAATTTCTTGAATACAATTAAGAAAACATTTTCCGTGCTTCTATACAGTTGTATAGAACCACGTGGGGGAGTTCCGGAGAACGAGAAATGATCAGGCAGTGGAAAAACGAGCCAGGGCCTTTTTCAGCATAGAAGGCAAGGGGGGAGGGGGGCTTTGCCCCCAATCCCCCTTGTGCCCCCTCCCCCTCCACGAGTCAATATTTGCCGCCTCTTCAGTCAAAATCCATTTTCTCTAAAATATAAGCAAAACATTGGAGGGAGGATTGAATTTTGATACTAGAGGCGAGGTTTGATATTCTAGTAACTGAAATTTACTTTGTGAATCTTATGTCATGTCCTTTATCATCAAATGATTCAATATCTTTTTAAAAATGCTAAACATTGTGTTGTAAATACCTTAGATTTTAAACATTTTCCAGTGTATCCGCATATCCCAGACCCTATAGATTTGACTTGTTAGAAGGCTAGGTTAAACAAATTAGCGAGTGACCGAGTTTTGGTATTTAAATAAACATACCATGAACTGAAGAATCAGTCTATTTACAGTATAATGCAACGCTGTATATCCAAAAATCTGTTTCAGAAAATGCACGAAATGCAGTCCTAGGGGTGGAAAACTACAGACCCTCCTACTATTACATACGACATTTTTTCACCAACCGGCATCTGCCATCCCGATCTCCATATACCTCAGTATAATATGGTCCTTTCTGCAGATGCCCCCCTCCCACTGACGAATTCTTAAAAAAGGCCCTAATTAATAAATAATCGAACACAGAAAGCATAACACAAACAAGCAAACAATTTTGGGTAGCAATTAATTTCTGACAAAACATTTTAAGGTTTAAGATTTTTAACCTTGATAGTTACGTTTTGAAAAGATATCTTTAAAGATTTTAAAGGCATTACAGTTTCAAGAGGTTATTTGCATGGATAAGTACTGGCCTTGCAATTTCTTCGCATGAAAATATCAATTATGCCTGGAAATCCCAAGGAAAAACAACACAACCATTTATTTATAATTCATATATGAGAATGATCAATTAATAATATTTCCAACGTTCACTTATTCCCATAAAGGCAAGTGTCTTCGACACCCTCACTTTCTTAAAGCTATTTGACAATACTCGTAGACCGAGTACATATAATTTATATATTATCATGGCATTTCACAGAACAGTTTCATATGCATGCCAATCCAACAAACATATCATTTAAGTCTGACAACTTAAATCCAGAAACAAAACTATTCACAAACGATAACGCCAAAATATTTCTTTATAGTTTTTTTGTTCATAAATATCAATTAGTTAAAGTGACTTTGACACTTTGGCCAATATCCCGCAATTCCTTGAAGATCATAGGCTCTCATGAACGGTATTGCACACAGGTTTATGAGCGCGCCAGTCGTTTTTCTGACAAGTTCTGCTACAATACGGCTGCGCACATCTAGAACATAATTTTAACGTGACGTCATCACCTTCTTCTTTGTCACAATAACCACATTTTCGTTTCGGTCCGGGGACACCTTGCAGCTCGTATGTTTCCAGTGTACTGAAACTGCCACCGCATAACTCCAGGAATTCTTGAAGGTAAAATAAAGAACGATTAGCATGCACCAAACTGAATTCTCTTAAAGTGCCTATGACACGAAATTTCACCCCAAATGTTTATGATTGCATTGTAAAGATCACTTAAAATAACTTAATAATTTCTTTTATAGAATTTTGATAACTTGCTTCCTTTGCAAGATATTCAACTTTGTTTCATATGCAAATATCACCGGTGTGACATCACATAGCATAATGAGATTTTGAAAACGCAATATTTTACCTTGATAAAATATTTTTACAAACAAATACAGAGGGTTAATGACCAGTTATGAAACAAATACATATACAAGGGCAATTTTTAAGTTTTTTAGATACGTATTCGTCAAGAAAACTATACTTTTCTGAAAACTCATTATGTGATGTGATGTCACACCGGTGATATTTGCATACGAAACAAAGTTGAATATCTTGAAAAGGAAGCAAGTTACCAAAATTCTATAAAAGAAATTATTAAGTCATTTTAAGTGATCTTTACAATGCAACCATAAACCTTTGGGGTGAAATTTCGTGTCATAGGCACTTTAAAGTTTATACTCAGTGGTGTAACTGGGACCGAGGGGAACAGTATGTATGATTTTTTTACAAATGCGTTTCACAATTCTAGATTATTGAAGTTTAACACACTATGCGGCACCATATGTTATCTGAAAACTACTGTACATATGACATGCATGCAGGAAATTTTATATTCGACTTACACAGGAAATTATTATTTTTGGATTTTGCTGCCAGGAAGAGAAATATATTTTCTAGGCCGTCCCTTCCATCGAAATGTTCTAGGAAATACCTTTAAAGTTTAGCACATACATAAAAAATTACGGTTGACAACCACTCTCACTTTCAAAATAAGCACTATGCGATGATACTTTGCACATATGATATTTTGCACAGTTTTATGCTTGTAACAAAAATTGCCATCGACAGTGTTTTCTAGACACCATTTCAAGCTTGGTCGGTCATCCATATTTGAATTTAGGCACTCATAAAGAATACAAAATAAACTGAGCGCTGCATGGACGCTGCGCTCACTCGTTAGTTTAGCGATCCTTTTCAACCTCGCATCTTCTGGTTTGCAGACCGTCGCCTCTACCCGTTGAGCTATCGAGTCAACGGGGATTGGTAACGAGTCTTAGCCAGTGAACTCGATCTACTTACCTGGAGCGATAACGTTCGGTCACTTCGCAGTAAAAAAGTGGAGCCTCGCGTGGGCAGTGGCGTCAGCCCTCCACGCCATAAAGTACGTCAGTTTCAGTCAGTTTATACGCCAACACCGCGCGGTCCATCGCCATGCCATATAGTACGTCAGTTTCAGTCTCCCACAATAGACAGATTTAGATCGAGGACGCGGACGTCAAAGACGACGTGAAAATGGCGTAAAAATGGCGTGTCATATCCATACAGCACATGGGCAAGACACGCCATTTTCACGTCGTCTTTGACGTCCGCGATCTAAATCTGTCTAATGTTTACACTGCGCGGTCAGTATGTCAATCTCAGTTTGCATGCATTGTTTTTTTTCCAAAACAAATTTAAGAACAATACATTTTGCGTAAGGAAGTATGCTGTCCTTTGCAACTGCCTAAGAAAGATTACAGAAGAAAAGTAGGAAGAAAATACCTTTCAATAACCTACGTATATAGGTCGATTAAAGCAAGTTTTTCAAAAAACGGAAATTATTTGCTGTTTGAACAAATAACGAAAAACAAGCTTGATTTAATCGACTTACTTTGGTACTTTTATAGACCTTATTAATAAATCGTGACGAGGCCTCGTATCCTAGGATACGGGAGCAAAACGCGGGAAAACAAGCGAAATCTGCTTGACAAGCCAAATTCAGATGCTATTGTGTCGACTTCAACGGCTTGTTTCTTGTTGCTTTTTGCGATTTATAACGATTTTTGTGTGTATATTATATATTAATTATATATATATATTAAGACTTTGTGCCTACAACGAAAGCGGTAAACGAGTATATTATAAAAGCGACCGGTTTTTCTCCCTTTTTGTGTGGAAAAAATGACAACGCAGCGATGGTGTTTATCCAGAAGCGAAAAACAGTATTTTACTGAGATTTTAACGTCAATATAAAGGTTATTCCGTGAAAAATCAAGACAACCATGGAATGAAAGTATAATTTTTCAAATTTGACAGTATTATGAAAGAAAACAACAGGTCAAAAATCACAGAGAACGTCAAATGTTATTGATTCGTGCGGAAAAATATGAACTATGGCTGTGGCTCGATAACAATCTGCAAGCAGCTTACAAGTTTAAAAAATGAAGGCTACATTACCTGAGTGAGTTGTAATCCTGTTTCGTCAACAATAGTTTCATATTTCTTACGATTTTGGTTTTGTATAGACGTTTCGTAGCCTTGTTGGTTGTTTGTTTTGGTCATACAAACTTGACAATAATACAAAGTCAAAGGTTTCCTTTTTCGATTGACTCCAGCATCTTTTGCTTTAAATATCTTGTTATATTTTCTCAGAAGTTATTTATTTAACTTTCAAGCTCAGTTTTATAAATATTATTTTCGAAAAAAGCCGTAATATTCACGAAAAAAGCCGCCATATAGCCGACAGCAAAAAAAGCATTTTGTCAATTTTCCCGCGTTTTTCCCCGTTTCCTAGGATACGAGGCCTCTTCAGGATTTATGAATAAGGAAGAATAAGGTCTATTCTGTAATCTTTCTTAGGCAATTACAAAGGACAGCATACTTTGTTACCGCGTAGTGAAAAAAAAACACGCGAGGACTGAAACTGACGTACTATATTGCGTGGAGGGCTGACGCCACTGCTGACGAGTTGCTCACGCGAGGCTTCACTTTTTACTGAGTATTGTCGCATAGCCTATGAAATTAGGGAAGAAGGCTGTGAAACTCAATAGAATAACAATATATTTAACACATTATTTATGTTGGTCAACGCTTACTCATAAATCTGGTCCTTCACCGTCACATGTGTATTGTATTTTTGCCCAACTAACCAACAGGAATGTTTTAGGAAAGTTACGAACAATAGGGAAACTGGAAATTGCTATTGGTGGATTTGGTAAAAATACACGGTCAAAGGACCAGATTTATGAATGAACGTTGACTAACATATAGATGAGTTATATTGTTATTCTAATGAGTTTCACAGCCATCTTCCATTCGATAGGCTATGGTTATCGTTACAGGTAAAGTAAAATAAACTGGGTTCACTGGTCTTA